CATAAAAGGCTAAATAAAACAAAAATATTGGTGGTAACTTTTGACTGTGTAACTTTACAAATGGCACCCCATACGGTTTGATGTTATTTATTGTTTTTTAACGTCCTACAGGCTCTGACGTGGGAAATAAATTTGAAATTGAGTTTTTTAAAAAGGTCCGTGGGATTGTCTGTACGGCTGCAAAATGAGGGGAAATGAATGTATTTAAATGAAAACAAACATAAATGCACAATTAGTTTATTATAATGTGTCAGAGGTATTTTATTTTGAAAACTTGGTTTGTTTTGTGGAAAATAATCTGTTTTGTAAATCTGAAAACATGGACAGAGTTTGAGATGTTGCAGATTTTTTTAAGATGAAACTTGTGCAAAAAGAAATGGTTGAAACGATCTGCAAAATAAAAATAATAAATTTGTTCAATGTTTCATGAGTCATAAAATTAAAAAAAGCATCCGAGTCAGCACAAGTATTTTGATTTTGAGACTATTTTTGCTTTTCTTTTATTTTCTTGAAGGACAAACATTTTGTGAAGAGAGTGCTCAGACTGGTCGAGGACCCACACTGGACGTGCAGTTTATTCTGCCGAACATTTATTCATTTATTATGTCCCTCCTGAACACAGAGACCCCTGAAAACCTGGACCCTGTTCTTCACGTGGCCCTGCAGACTCACAGAAACCGCTCTGAGCTGCTCTCCTGGGGCGACGAGGATCCATCAGGAGTTTTGGGGCCATCTGTGGACGCTCCGTGCCTCCTGCCTTGGACAAACTGAAACAGGCCAGTGAAMAAAGTGACCGGCGCAGCTGACACGCCTCTCTGAGGATCAACACATATGGCACTCTGTGACCACTAACACCCCGAGGCTCACGTTTTACTGCACCTAATATCCTCTCATGAGCGAAACTGACTGCAGATAAGGAGAAAAGCAACAATCTGGTTCCTGTATTCCTGCAGCAGCCGCCTCACACAYGGCTCTTTATCTGCTGCACCGTGCAGCTCTGAGTCCAACATTTTCACATGAAGGAGGGTTTAAAAGAGCGCCGCTCTGGTCCAGSCTGATCTGAGCTGCTGCAGGAAATGTGCTGCAATATTTATCAAGCTGCACCGGGAGAGTCCAGCTTTGAGTGTTTGTGTGACGCCGTCATGTTTGCACCCGTCACACACACACAAGGTAAACATCATCAGTCAGACTCTTTTATGCTGAAACTGTAGGTCTCTGTGGGACAAGTCCAGTTCTGTTTCTGTTTGCCCTCCTGTCCTGAGGCTCACATTACTCTGCATTAGTTTTAGAGTTACACGCTCCCTCTAGTGATAGACACAGGCACTGCCTGAGGAGCCACCGGCAGGCAGCCGGCAAGTATTGGAGCATGACAAGAAGAGTTATCCTCGCTCGCTGCAGGCCGGCTGTTGYGCCTGGAAGCCTGTGGGAGCCTCAGCGGTGGACTGAGAGGAACACTTGTTTGAGGAGCGCAGAACAATCTGCATTAAAAAGTAAATGTTGTGAGGCAGAAATAAATCAGTGACCATRCAGGAGAGACAGAAATACACAGAAAAACATCAGATTTAACTGAACTCCACTGTGAAACTGCTTCATTTATGTGCTGTGGATTTATAAAAAGTCAGAATTTCCTACAGAGCTGAACTGAAAGATGCTTTAATGACAACAGAGCAATCAGTGGGATTTAAAGCAGATGAGAGAATCGTCACAGAYACTCAGTCTGCTTTTTAAATCCTGTCTTCACAGATTCTCCCTCTGAAAAATCAGGCTGATTGAACAGATTTKAAATGACTGCTGGCTTCAAAGGGATGCGAGCAGAACAAATGAAAAGGTGAGTCCAGAGCCGACGGACTAAACTGGACCGACTTCATTTAATGTTCTTATTAAAAAGCTCTTTTCATGCAACGAATCAGCGCTTCGATTTGACTTGTCTCATTTAAACACCATTACCTCCGTATGCTGACAAGTTTAAACCCAGAATAGGAWGTGAAAAAAGATCAATCCTGCTCAGCATAATTGATAGCAGCAGCGTCGGAGCAGGCCACACAAAGATAATAATTCACATTTCATTGGTTTCTATGGAGCGGCCTGAGTGCTGAAGACACAGTAACACGCTGACCTGTGGTCAGACATGATGAACCGTCTGGTCTTCATCCTGCTCTCACCACAGCATGGAGACAGTCTCTRCTTTCTGCCGTTTTACAGCGTTCACCCTGTTTGGCTGACAGGAATYCACCCAGATTTAAAGGTCGAGCTGCAGCGCCGCGACACGACTGGGATAATGTGATAATTAAAACGGCCTCGGCACATGGCTACTATCACAAACATGCTGTGWGTGTGTCAATGGGAGCCATTTATGCCTCGTTGTTGAAGGCAAATGGAAAACATGTCATCAGAGCACAAAGGGGATGTGATAATTGTTGTTTTGTCTGAATTTAAACCGACTAACTGACAGCTGAAGAGCTCAGACATTTATTCTAACAGTCAGGGATCAAAAATCCTAGAAAGGACTCTGAAGTCAAATGTGAGGTCATGTGTCCAGCAGCTGAAGCTTGACCAACATGATAACAGGACGATGATCCCAAACACCAGAGTCCAGAGCCAGGACCAGAGTCCAGAACCAGAACCTGAACCTGACTGAATGAAATGTTTTTTWTATATTACACAAATAAGTTCTGGTTCAACATGGCCACCAATTTCTCCAAGCAAACACAAATCAGTTTGTTTTACAGACACTGAGCTACAAGCTGGTGTGGTAGTARCTGAGAGTTGTTCCTCAACATTTACTCTGAACTCTAACAGATCAAAGGAGGTCTTTGTGCATTCCTTCAAGTTTCAGTTGAAAAAATAAAAAAAAATAAAATCCATAAAAAATGTATATAATGTTGGATGAGGCTATAGGTTGTGGTGCAACAATACAGAAAATTCACTATTTGGTTTGAGTCAGGTTCTATTTTTTTTTGATACAAAAAGAGAAATGTCCATGCCCTCATTAACTTGTAATTAAGTGAATTAATTCTGAACATTTGTTTAACCTCAAAAGTACAGTTTTTGAATGAAATGTTGCTGAGCAGCCTAGGTGGAGTAGTCAAACACAGATCCACTGATCCTTCAACACAGAGCATCTTCAGAAGACAAGTTGATAAAATAAATGTTAAAAATCTGCATTGTTCCATACATAGTATTTATTACAGCACTGTACTGAACAGTTTCATACAGATATATGGATTGTTGCACTCCTGCTAGTCACTAGCTATGTTCACATGCACAATTTTTTTTGATCGGATGGAAATGGATTCGGATTAAATAATCCGAATGTATTGTTTACATGGACACAATCCGATCATGAAAAGTGTTTACATGCACCAGACTTTTATTCAGAATAAAAGTCTGGACATGCGCAGTGTTGTAAACGTTCAGCTCTACTTCCGTGTTACAAACGTAAACAAAGCTCCTCTGTGCCTCAGGACGGACCCGTGTCAGTTTTTAATAACGGTAGAGACGTCCTTACCCCTCTGTTGAGCTGCAGATGAAGGAATACATCTTTTGTTTTGTTTTTTTGTTTTTTGTTGTTGTTTTTTTTTTTTGCGAAGCTACGTCTGCTGTTTGTCTCCTTTTTCATCTGTTAAGGGAGCGTGGAGGAAAAGTTCTGCGCAGCGCAGTGCAGCTGGAAACTAGCGCTGCTGCCCCGCCTCCTCTAAAGAGCAGAACCGRGTGAATGAAAGTCAGAAGACATGCACACTCAGGTCAGTTTTCTACAATCAGAATAAGATGATTGGATTCAGTGTTTACATGCACGTCATTCCAATTTTCAATCGGCATAACCCACCTCTCTCATTCGGATTAAAAATTCATTTGGATCGAGCTCAATCGGATCAGAATAATCCGAACGGGCTGTTTACATGACACATTTTTATTCCAAATGGCCGTTTAATCCGATTACTTATATCCATGTAAACGTAGCTACTGTGAAAATYTGAAAGGTCCATAAATCACAGGTTTGGATGATTGTGTTAAAATGACAAAATTGCAACAATATTATTAAGTAAACATCACCTCCATTCATAATTTAGAAGCCTTTTTTTTTTTGTTTTTCGAGTCAAATGTTGGAACAAGAAGAAAACTTGCAGCATCACAGGTTGTG